CCCAGAAGGCTCAGGTGCAGGACATTGTGTGACATTCAGGTGCACTGAAGTGTGCGGTTATTTTTTGTTTGGTTTGTAAATAAATAATAATAATATTTTAAAAAAACAGCAGGAATTTATGATGTTTTTTGGCCAAAATGTAGAATTTAATTTGGAATTTTTTTGATACTTTCTTTGTTTCTGTCCCGGATTATACATAATGGGGCACAGCGCCAAGCCTGAAAGTGTTACAGTGTGATAATCATGCGCATTGATCACCGTGTTAAAAGTTATTCCTTCTCCTTCTCTATACACATCATTTCTGCCTGCTTAACATCATTGCACCTTTCCGAATCCCTTCCCGTGTAGCTCTGCCAGTTCTGCAGTGGAGCATGCAGCATTATTCTGCTAGGTTAAGTGCGGCACAATCTAATTACTCTAATGTCGGTTGCGGTCTTAAATCACACTTATTGGGTAAGTGCGCCCGTTTGTCTGTCCTTCAGAAGGGAAGCCGCTCCGCTCTGCTCTTGGACTAATTATTCCAACTGGATATGAGCAATTGCACTTATTGGCTAGGGCATGGAACCGGCTGCCTGCGCTCCCATTCGTTGCCAGTGAAGTGTGTGTACGATTGGGTCCTGGGAAGGAGTGGGAGGGGCATTCTCTCTTTCCTCCCTGTGCTGGAGCGTTTGTGGATGTGAGCACTCTTTTCTCTCCTATTATCTGAGTGGCTGCAGGTACTGGTGTCTGCCTCTATGCCTCTGTGCCAGAGGGATAAAGAGGGAAAGAAAGAGGACTAGTGCTTCATATCCCCCCTTTGGCCTCCCCGTCTCCCTGCTCCCTGCCACTCCATCCTTCCTTCCTCCCTCCTGGACCACCCGTCAGCGGCTTGATCAACCTGCCCGGACCCTCCTCCCACAACCCCTTTGACTATCCTCACTTCACCGTCCCGTCTTCTGAACTGTGTGCAGGTAAGCCAGCACCTAAATGTGACTTTGTTGTGCTTTTCCCCCGCTTCTCTACACTCTTTCCTCTTTGCATGTCATTTTGTCATTGTTTCTCACACACACTCTTTCTCACGCACCCTCCCTCACTCTCTTTAGCTTTCAAGTTT